ACTAGTACTGAAATTTTATCAATCTTTTCTTCTCTTTAATTGAGATTTAGTTTAAAAAGTAAAAAGATTTCAATTTTAATAACTAAAAAAGTATTTTTTAAAAGAGTTGCAGAAGAACTTTTTTGGTTTATTAGTGAGAATACAGATGTTAGAAAATTACAAGAATATTCATATTTGGGATAAAAATATATTAAATAATTATGACTTAGGACTAATTTATAGGTTTCAATTAAGGCATTCTGGTGCAAAATATATTTGTGATTAAAAAATAATTATTGTCTTTTTAGAATATTATGTAATTATTTTAAGCTTCTTCAGAGAATATATTAATTGTAAAATTAACTACAAATATAAAGGCAAAGATCAATTAAAATATATAATTAATTTGATCAAAACAGATTTTTCAAATAGAAGAATTATAATTAATTTTTGCAATTCTAAAGATTTAGAAAAAAAATAGTATTTTCATCTTGTTATATTTTTGTTCAATTCTATATTAACAATCTGAAAAGTATAAAGAAAAGCTTATCATGTCATATATTTCAGAGATTAGAAGATGTAGGATTGGGTGTACTATTCAATATTGCAAGTTATATATTGTTAACTTATATAATTACTAACATCATTGATCTTGAAGCTGAAAAATTTATTCTAACTCTTGGTAATGCACATATTTATAAAATCATAAAGAAAGTTTACAAGAACAACCAAAAAGATAATTATACAAATTTCCAACAATTTCATTTGACTGTAAACATGATAATTTAAAACAGTTTAAATATAAAGATATCATTTTAGAAAATTACATTTTTTATAAGAAAATTAAACTTAATGTTTCTTAGTTTATTTGCTTAGTTTTTTTTTCTTAAATTAGTTTCAAACATAGTTTTAATTATATTTAAAGAATTAATAAAATTAATACATGCTTCAAATTTGATATTATATAATAAATATTTACTACGAATAAATGAATAAAGAATCTTTTTTCATTTTTTCTTTATTTTTCTATCTGGTTTTCTTTTATCTATAGTATATATTTTATCATAATTAACTTGTAAGTATTTAGTTGTAATAAATATTAGTTCAATGTGTTCTTTAAATAAAAAATAAATAAAATAATTAAAAATAAACAAAGAATTTTGTTATCATTATATATTTTAATAATATCTAGACATTCTTTTTAAAGAGTATGTTGCATATTACAAATGCGATAAATAATTTTTTAATATAATTAATATTATTAATAGAAAATTCTCTAGGTACTCTATTATTTGAGTTACCTAATACATTGACCAAAATTTATAAAAATAAAATATAATCAAAACAAATATTAATAATATTAAAATTAATATTATAAGTATTTAGTATCTAGACTAAAAATGTTGCTTCAAAGAGTATAATCTCTTGAAAATTAAAGAAAATATTATTATTATTATAAGTTCATTATAATATCTCTTTTAATGATAAAAAGTTGAATTGAATTATTGTTCAAATGTATTTAAATATAAATTTTTAATGTGATATCTATTTTTAAGAAAAAAATCTTTTATACTTATAAAGTTATATTTTATGAATATATTAATTTTAAATAAATCAAATAATGTTTCTTTTTTAAAACATTTTATTATTTTTGATATTATTTTTAATATATCATTTCTAATAAAAGACATTCAATTCTTGAATATAAAATAAATATTACAATGAAGTTGTGTAGTAATTGTATATTCACAATTATATAGGATATTTATCTTATTATAAACTATATCATAATTGTTAAATAGACCACTATTTGGCAAATAGTATTTAAAAAATTGGTCTTGGATAACAAGATCTTTTGAATCTTGAATTATATCATAATATCCTATTTCTTGCCAAAGTTTGATTAGTTTCTGCTTTAATAAGATTACTCTAATAATAATATTCAATTAGCAATTATTTTCATAACCATCTTAAGAAGGATATTTTTATGAAATGTTAATCAGTTTATATGGTCATAATAAAAAAGATGCAAACAAGTGTTTTTTAATAAGATTTTTTAATATTATATAATTTTTTTTTAAAACTATACTAGTATTGTTTATAATCTCTAAGTTATTAAAAAGAAAATAAAAATATTTTATATCATTACTTTGAGAAAAACATTATTGGTTCTATAAGTTTCTACAGCTTTATCAATAATTTGAAAATTTTTTTTATAATTAGCAAAAGAAACCTATTTAATTTTGTTTTCAAATAAGATATTATTTGGAATTAAAGTTCTGTTAGTTGTCAACATATATTGTGTTTTAAGTAAAATTAAATCAAATTCAGAATTACTAAAGCATAACATTATTTGTTAGACAAAATATTATGAAGATAAGATATTCAATTTAAATAAAATTTTAATAAGTTGGGTATTTAAAAATTGGTGTTTTGTTTTAAATTGTAAGTTTTTCTTAAAAGCATAAAACAGTGCATAGTATTTACTATATAATAGACTAATTAGTATATATGTATAGTTATATTAAGACTTATTTTATTTCATTCTTTTGATATCTTTGCTAAAAAGAAAGTATTATTTAATAAAATAAAGATTATTTGTTTGACTTCAGTTAAAAATAAATTTATAATTAATTTAAGAACAGAAGAAAAAAATAAAATAATCAATTTATTTATAATTATTAGTTTATTTTTTTTAAAATATTAAAGTAAGTACTTGTGACCTAGTATTTTATTGATAGTATATTTGGCTAATGGATGCTTTACAACTACATATGGCAACTATAGGAAGAGTGTACAACTAGCCACTTGTACAACTTTAGTTATTGTTTAATTTAAGTAGTCTGACCAAAGGTTCTACACTAGCTGCTATATCTGAAACCTGCTTGTAGGTTCCTTATTTAACTACTCTGTTTTTGTATCCACTCATCTACCTCTGCCTACCAATGACCCAGACTGATGTCAGTGAAAATATGTCATGGCCACTAAGTCTTTAAAGCAGTTCACTTATATAGGAAACCTTTGACCTTGTATTAAACCTTCTAGAATTTTCTGTATCCTATTCTTACAGCTAATATAGTATCACTATGGCCAAGATCAACATTAATAGTCAGAGTATATCATTAAACTGCTATGTCCTTGTAGAGTTCACTTCAACCCCAGTACTAACTTCACAACATATTCCTACTACTTTGGTATTTAATTCAAGTTTCACCAAGCTGCCAAACCAGATAGCCTAAAAAGGCAGGTCAAAACTATATACCTTTAGTTTAAATGTTTGCTAACATATAACTTTTTCCTCTAAAATTTAGAAATTCTAGCAGCCTGGTTAGTTCATCTAGTCTCTTTTCAAAAACCAGCATATTTGTTCAGTTTTACAAGTTCTAGTTTCATTTTATAGGTCTAGTCTCTACAGTGCACTATCAAAAGTTCAGATTACCTCTCTACTCAGGTCTTTCAAGTAGACTTCTATCTTTTTTCTTTTGGTTTTTATGATTTACATAGCCATGAGGACTTATTGTAGGTTTACACCATCTGGTACCAGTTTGTATTTCTTTGTGTAATCACAGACCTTGTCCTAATTGACAATGTCATATGACTGTTACACAAATGTCATGTAATCTGTCAGTCTGCTAGTGCAACATAGGTAACAGATGTCTTATCCTAACCAATTGTGAGAGACAGTTAATTATAATACAAAGAGAATTTTCAAATTTTCTGTTAATACTAAGATTTGAACTTTGGATTTGCTACTTGAGGGTTGACAACCTAATCACTTCACTAAGTCACCACACCCCCATATAATTATTAGTTTATAATATATTATATAATTAGTATAATAAGATACATTATTTACTATTATATTTAACTTCTTTATAATTATTTTTTAGAGTTTTAGTCTTTAATTCTGTATCCTTTATTTCATTTTTTGGTTTAAGAGCAATTATTTTTTTTTTTAAGAAAACTATTTCATTTTCTAACTTCTTATTTCTATCATATAATATTTTATTATTAGTTTTATTTTTTTTATTTTATTTGCTTGATTTATCTTGATTTTTCAAAAATTTATAAATTATATCATCTTTTTTTTTAACTAAATTTAATAATTTTTAAATTTTTCTTTTCTTTTATATAATTCATTATTCAACTGATATATTTTATTCTTCTATTTTCAAATTTATTATTTCTTTAAATAAGTTTATTTTTAAGGTTTTTTATATAAACATTCTTTTTATCAATTATTTTGTGACATTTATTAAGTTTTTTTTTGAATTTTTTAACTTTATTTTCAGTATTTACATTTTTATTTTTTGATGTTTTAAAGTATGCATTTGTATTTTTATTAAATAAATTATTATTATTTTCTTTTTTAATATTATTTTCATTGGAATATTTTACTTTTTCTTTATTAGAAGTCATTTTATCAACAGTTATATTTTTAATAATCTATCTTTTAATAAAATAATTATTATTAATAAAAGTATTAAAAATCAAAATGTTATTTACAGAAATTTTATTATTTATAAAAGAATATAGACCATTTGGTAGAAATATGTAAAACTGACTAAAGGTTTTATTATTAGAGTTAATATATTCATAACTATTTAATATATTTGATTTATTAAATTTAGTAAAATAATAATTATTTTCATTAGTTTTAAAATTCATTCTTTCTTCATTTTTTTCAAATAAAAGTTATTGAACTTATTTATAAAATTCTTATTTTAATAACTTTTTTTAAACTACATGTTTATTAAAAAATAAATTTTAAGTATTTATTTTCTGAATTGAACATGAGAATTAGTTTTATAATTTTTTAAAAATAGATAAATTAGTAATATTAAATAGATAATAAAGACTGTCTTACCATATAATTCTTATCAAAATTTTTATTTATCCTCTTTTTGGTAATTCTTATAACTACAAAGAACTAACAAATGTTTATTTTTTCCTTTATAACTGTATTCTTAAATTCAATACATAAATCCATTATATAACATTAATGTAAATAAAATACATTAATGATCAATAATTATATTTTGTGTAATGTAATAATCAATATAATTATTAAATGTATTAGTACACCTTATTCTATAGATGAACTGCTTATTATTACTTTAAAACTGCTTAATATTATTTACAATTACATATTTAATTTTTCTAACACTGTTTTATTTCTTTAAATATGTGTAATTTATTCTTATATCCTTCTCCTCTACCCCTCTGCATCTGAAATACTATTCCCAATTATAACTGCAACTTATTACATTTTGCATATTTTTCACATGATCAGTCATAATATTCCAGTATTACAATACATCTTTCTTAGCATTGCCATAAAAATTCTACTATCACATGATGATAAAAAAATTCTTTAAAGTTCATTTAGGTTAGGGTTAGCATTTCTAATAAGGCTAGTTACTAGCAGGTTTATAGTAAAATTGCTCAAGGAATTTTTTTGTTAGAGCGCAAAATGTATTTTCTTTAACGTTTGTTTTGAATTTTCCTGATCGTGCTACGTTACACCAAATCATGCTCATTATTGGTCAATTTGCCGTCTATAGTCACGTGATAGTAAAATTTTTATGGTGATACTGGATCACAATACCATGTAGTTCATATGATTGACATGCCCTACCCTTAAAGAGACTTATGTCTTACGTATTTTTTTTCGATAAAAAAACTGACCCTTCGCTCGGTGTGCAAGTTATAAAAAAATTATTTTACAACACCAGATGCATTGGATATAATCATAACATGTACTAATAGAATGATCTGGTGTTGTAAATTTTTTTTTTTATATGTTGCACACCGGGTAGAGGATCAGGCGACAGTTTCTCTTGTTATATTGATATACTGTATCTATGAAATGGTGAAACCCGACTACGTTATTGATGCGCATCTTACTTATTTAGGGTTAGTGATAGTTACTCTCGCTATTTAAGATAGTGATCTGCATCAATAACATAGCCGTTTCTGTCGCAGTTTCACCTCGTTTTATTATTGTATTATCATAAAGTTTAAAACTTGAACAAAATGACACATAGTTACAAAAAACTTCACCAAAGGACCCGACGTTCAGTCCAAAAAAAAGACAATTCTCAGGTTCAGATAGTTGAAGAAGAAAATAAAAGGTAATACAGTATTGATAAAATCATAATAATAATAGTAATAAGACGATAATAATAATATAAATGATAATAATAATATAAATGATAATATAATATAGATTGCAAGAAGAAAATGAAAAGTTAAAGAAACTTACCGAAGGACAAAGAGAAATTGCTGCCGAGAGAGTAAAGAAATATTGTATAATAGAAACAAATTATGACAATTTAGAAGCTGAAAATAAACGACTACAAGAAAGAATTAAATTTTTGGAAGAGCTTAGAGAAGTACAAAGGTTAGAAGAAAATCATAATAGAACAATGCAACGAGAGAGTTTGAGAGCAAGAATGGAAAATATAAGAACTAGTTTAGAAAGTTCGGAAAATGTTGTTTCTAGTGAAATGGTTGTAATAGATAGTGATGATGGTGATGATGATCAATCATGAGTAAATCTGATATACATATTAATTTGTTTTATTATTAATATGAAATAAAATATATATTTCAAAAAAAAAAATGTCTGAAAACTCGATTTTAAACATAAGTAAACGCATTCTTTTAAATAATTTAGAAATCAAAATACTCATTAACATCTTTAAATTTGTCACATTCTCTTTAAATCCGATTTTAGCCCATGTTTTGCACTCTAGAATAAGTCGTAATATGCATGCGGAATTGATATTTGTGATCGATTAGCCAAATTTTTTTTACATAACTAGGCGCTTGAGTTGCTTGAAGGGAGAGTATATATAACAGGAATGAAGTGATGAAATCATGAAGTCTATGGTTTAGTGAGGCGTACGGGCCAAAATCTAATACCCTATTGGTCAGAGTGATCATAGTTGTCACATATTGCATATTACTGTTGAACCTCCCAAACCGATATGCATGGTGAGAAGTTATCAGATTTGAAAGCATTTATAAACTATTAGATTTACATAACGGAAACGGACTTGGTAGATTAATTTTTTATCAGATTCGAAAGGTTATCGGTTTAGAGAGGATTGATCTTGGGAGATTCAACAGTGTTTACTCAATATTACATACATCACTGTCAAAGTCACGAATCTGCACTGCTAAATGAAGATCATCCGCAATTAAAGTTGCAACTAAATCACAAATTTATATTATATTCATTACTCAAATCGTGAACACTAGTTAACTTATTTATTGCTTAAATTACGAATGCACTCGCCACTAAAAATTAACTTACCAATATTAAAGGTACTAAACAATCTACTATTGAAATAGTAAACTCATTCTGTGTTGAAATTACTAAATCATTGTTAAAATCAATAATCTATCCATTGCTGAAATTATTAATACACACCATTAAAATCGGTAGCACTCACTGCTGAAATTCTAGACTATCTATTACTACTAAGTCATTAATCACATAGAATGGTTGCCAATTACTAACCACTCACTATTAAACTGCTTACCTATTCACTTTTGAAATAATCAGCGCACCCATCATTGAAATTATAAAATATAAAGCAGACAAATAAATCATTAGTATAGTTAGTCCCTTCTTTCCCATAAAAAAATCGATACAATTTTTTAACACATCATTATTACTTATGCTGTATGTGAATACATAGTTAAGGTTTTAGTAAGATTCATCAACAATCTACTTTTACCACCACTAAGATTATATAAGGCCGACCTTTAAATCGTCAAAACTTTATCAGCGAAATGACTATTGAGAAAATAATTTAGAAATTGATTTATACCATGATCATAATTCAAATACGAATGAAAATTATTTTTTATTGTTTTAATTACAAAAAAATATATTATAGTTAAGCTTATTCACTCATTTAAAGCAAAGTTCTCGTTATATTGCAATAGTTAATAAAAGTATCAATATAAATAAACCAAATAAGAAAGATCCCTTTAGCAATTCTTCACAAAATATTCAAAGTTAAATAAATAAAATATTTTGATATCATTTTGATTAAAATTGATTAGGCCTAAGATCACAACTAGATGTAGATTGTTAAGTAAGATATGTAACCTCAATAAGCACAAAAAAATTATATGCATAGCAATTATTGAAGGTTGAACTTGTTGGTGTCATGAAAATTTAGGCAAAAAAAAAATAAATAATATTTATATATAGAAATAATGTGCATATTAATTGGAAATAGAATGTGCTGATAAAAAAAAATCAAAAAGAATGAAGATGCTGAAGAGACTGACTTAATTCTACTTTTGGAGGTAAGACGATTTCTAAGTGATTCAAAAAATATAGAATACTACTGGAATTAAAAAGGTACCAAAGTGATTTAAGTAAAGAATGCTACCTGTGAGAAAATGACGAAGAGATCCAAGTAAAAGGTCTTATTCAATTTATTTACTCTTTCGTCAGATCACAGCTTAGATGACGTCAGCTGTGATCTGAGGCAGGCGTTAGTTAGTCTGAGGCACAACATAAATATGGATCTGTTGTACAATTACTAAAATAGAAGTGAAAATTTGTCTTATTGTTATGTAGTTAAAGTAGTTCAAACTGAAAATTTGCGACTTTTTATTAAGTTTAAAATTGAAATGTTTGTAGAAGTTTCGCCACATCACTATCTCTGTCAGTATTCAAATGCTTTACGATTCTGTAGAAGAAAATAAATTCTAGTTCAAATAGCTTCTGTTAATCATTAAAAAGAAGCGTAAAAAAAAAAAAAAAAGTATTCTCACAATATCAGCTATAATAAGCGATTTTAAAAGAATTAACCAGTATGTAAAAAAAAGAATGTCTGCAAATAAAAAATGTTTACTAGCTTTATTTCTGAATTTTAAAGCAAGTAAAAATTAAATAATTTCATTATATTCTGCATTTGTACATGAAAATTTAAATAATGGTTTTCGAAACTCAATATATTTTTATTGTCACAGCTAATATTGATTTCAGCTGATTCTGATTTTGGGTCTAGGTTTGGAAATGTAAACATTGCTAAAATTTATCTATACTCTTTTATTAACAACCCTAACGCTAAAATCTAATCTATGATAAAATTATTGAAAAAATGCATACAAAAAGTTTTAAAATCATATATTAAAGCAGACTCCAAAATAAAAATTAACTGTGACATTTCATTCCGTTTTAAATACTTTAATCCAACATGTCAAAGAGAATATAACATGCAATAAATCATATTAAAAATTTTGAGAAAATGATTTTAATCATATAGCATAATAATAGCAGGAGTGACCGTCGTGAATTCTATTAATTCACCTGCAAGTTAGCCAGTCAGATTACATGGATTAAAATAGATAAACAGATAAAGCGAAGTGAAAGCAATAGTTTATCTGTTATAATTACTCATACTTTAAAATAGTATTGTAAATTGTATGAATTCTATTGAGAATGATTACTGCTAATGCTATTGCACCACCAAAAATAAACATCTTATTGTGCTTATTATTGCCGTTATCATTGGTATTAGCGGGAGATGAATTAATATTACTGGGACCAACACCTATTAACAAGAGCTTAATTATTAAATGCAAAATAAATAAATAATGCAAATATATATATTACCAGTACCACATGATATATCGATGGCTATAATACGCATACAATTCATAATGTTAAAAAATTGCTAAACAATAGTAAAGATAATTAGAGAATAAAATTTTTACCTGTATGAAATGAACCTTTTACAATTGCATCATTTGCTCTAAGATAATCGGTCTTACACTTGTCTATCACTTTTGCCCATAAGCTTATTATCTCTTCGTAATCAACCTTTGAAATTTCTAATGTACAAGTTGATTTTTTTATATGATCATATAACAATTTAACCAAATTATCAATTAGACATTTGTGGCTTTCCCAAAAGCTAATGAGCAGTTTGAATTGATTATTAATTATTTTAACTTCTTTATCAATTTCTTTATCAATTTTATCAATTTCAATCGTCTTCACATTTGAGTTATATAACCCTTGCCTTATCTCATTATTTATATTATCTAGGTAATTTTCAAGACCTTCAATACAACTAATCCTTTTATTGGAATCATTAAGAGAAGTTTCTAGCACATCAACCAAATCGCTGGCCTTAGCTGTATCATTTAAAATAACTTTAAAACACTGAATAATATCACTAATGAATAAAGAAATTTCATAAAGTTCAGATGACAAGTCTTCACTAAATTTGATAAAATTGACAGTTATTTGTTGTATATTTGTAATTTTGGATTTCTCAATGCATACCTTACATTTTTGTAAAGCTTTTAAGACATTAAATATCGCTTCATCAGGTTGATTTGTGGGAGATAAGATATTTTTCAAGACTGTTTTACATAACTCGAATTTAGGATCTTTACAATTTGAATGTAAAACAATCTCATTTTCATTATTTTCTTGATAATGGCTTTTCTTTATGTCTTTCGAATTTTGCATTTGTAAAAATTTAATGTATGAATGAGTGCGAAAAAAGATTGTATAAAATAGGAACAATTTCGAAATTAGAATCAATGAGGTACGGTACAGGAAATCTAAAAACCTCAATACATTATATAGAATAGTAACTATAATAACTAACCCATTTAAACTAATTAGTCATTCTTAATAGTGGCTTATCTAAGTTTCAGTAATACAGAGGCAGAACAATAAGCATTTTCGACAAGTATTCTTTCAAAAATCTGTGTGCGATATGCAACTTTCCAAATATCTTCTAATCTTCTAATCTTTTAAATTACATGTGAAAAGAATACAAAAAGAATTTAAATAATATAGAAAATTTTGGGGGAAATCACATATCATACCAAAGATTTTTGAAAGAATACTTGTAAAAAAAATTTATTGTTCTACTTTTAGTATATACAATAATAGTTGCTACGTATAAGTAAATATTTATTTATGGCGAATTATTTCTATGCAAAGAAATTTCTGCCAAGAAATTTGTTTTTAATTGATACGAGTTTATCTCTATATAGAGAGATTGAAATATACATTGTAAGTGGACTTTCCCACGGAAGCATATATAAGTTCAAATCTAAATCCTTATCAATCCCAATTTTGCTTTTTCAAGGTATAATTGTGCTGTAATGCGATCATAACTTGATTGATGTAATGTATCCACATTTCCTTATTTTTGAGATCACCTAACGGTGGTTAGGATCTACATTTGTTTTATCCTTAATTTCTTGACGAAAAAGAAAAATATTGTTCGTGTATGCAGCATTGTCATGAATTTTTATTCCAAATACATAGGAACTACAGTAACTGTCATATGTAATATACTTTTGCCATTTTTTAAGTTTAATTTCATAAAGAATTTATATAATGTCAGATATCATAACACTGGATAGGTTATGATTCAAAAAATGTCACATCTGTATTTTAATTTAAATATCAATAAATAGTGACTCACTTCTATAACTTTTATAAACGGAATATTGAAAAAAATTTCAGAACCACACAATAAACCTCCAAAATGAAAATTGCTGAATCCGATATTTTCCAAGAAACAGTTTCCTTTGACGTACAAGCGTCCTCAAAAATGAAAGCGAGAGAATCTGATATTTTACAAGAAACTGTTTTCTCTGACATACAAGCTTCCTCTAAAATAGAAGTGAGCGAATCTGATAATGTCCGAGAAATAGTGCAAACCTTTAAAACTAGTATGACAGAATGTATAAGAGTATTTTCGGATTGTACACAAATTAAGACTGATGATTTAAGAATCAAAAATCAATTAATAGAAAAAGTTACTAATATTCGTTTGAAATTTCGAAGGTTTGCTGAGAAGTCTGTTGATTACTGCACCAAATTATCAGGCTATATTGTGGACTTGAAAGGGGTCATAGATCTTGTTTCTGACGAAAAAATTCATAAGGAAGATATTATTGAAGAGCTAAAATCATTATCTGATGAAACCAAAGATTATGATGCAATTTCAAATGATTTATTTAAACAGCTCATGGATATTGTAGAAGAGTTTTTTGATTTTAAAGGAGAATTTAAATCTCATAAAGATGAAATCGAAGAACAATTGCTAAAATAAAAATTGAATTAAAAGATACTGAAAATACAATACAAAGAGAGAAAGAACAATATGATAAAATGAAACCAAACTTCTGGAAAAAAGCTTTTACTGCAGGATTACTTGGTCTTTCTGTAACGCCTCTAGGACCAGAAATTGCAGCCATCGCTGCAATTTGGTTCCTATTTTCTGATTTTTCAGACGGTAAGTTATATTAAGTTTTGATAATGAAAAAATATTGCGAGCGATCTAATATTATTTTTTTAATAGGGAATAATGCCGAAAGACAAGAAACTTTAATTAAACTTTTAGCTGAATATATAAATAATAAAAATAATTTAAAGGATGAAAAAACAGGATTAGTCAAATATTTATTAGATCTAACTGAAGCATTCGCAGAAATTGCTATATCACTTTCTAAATTTAAAATTTGGTGGGATAAGCAAAGAATGATACTTCCTAAAATCCTTAACAAGCTGGATAATGCAGAAAAAGAAAATAGAATCAATACACTTAAAGTTAAACTTATCAGTGGTCACCTAGAAATATTAAAATCTTCTATTTCCGCTATTTCTGATTGTAATTATGCAATCTTAGAAATGTTAATGCGTGATAGAATAAGTAACTAAGCATGCCCTTTTATTCATTTTTTGAGTTGTTAAAATTATTGGCATGGTACAATTATACATTTGATATACTGTAATAACTAGAGAGACATATGTTCGGAAATTATGTGATTTCTAAAATTCTCATAAACTCTAACGTTTGGGATGTGCAAAAATGGTTTTTTTGATGGCTATATTGGGTGTTACGTATTAAAACAGCCAATTTTTACATATAAACTAGACGTCGCATATGTGGTCGGCGGCTTCGACTGACCAATAATTAGATATAATGTTTTTACTTGATTAAAATTAAGAAATTTTTTGTGGTTTTCTTTTTTAACGAAATAGAACTCAACACATAAGACTAGTTTTTAACAAATTATAAAAGTGTATAACTAAAGTTAATTAGTCTTAGATTTTTAACAATTTTTTTTATATATCTCGGCCTCTTTTCAAACCTTGTCCTACATTTTCTTTATAACATTGTCATAATTGTTTGTAGAACAACAAAAAATTATCGATGAACGAACCGATAAGTTTCTAACGTCTGCTGATACTAGAAACTTATTAATCCTGACTCGGTAACTTATCGATTCGATCATCAAAAAATTTTTTGCTGTTCCAGAATTTATGAAGACAACTGAGTACGAAGAACGAAGAGTATGGTTTACTGGAAGTTAAGTAGAGTCGATAATTCTGGCATCTAATTAGATAAAAATGTCTTGTGACTTTTTATAACACTCCGAACGATACTAAAAAAGGTTTATTAGGTATTAAGTATTTCAATACGAGAATGATCGATCCTTCCTTATGATTTCCATAATTTGCATATGGGTGCTAGGGCTTTTCTATGTGTAGCAGGCTATATCTTGATTTTTCGAATTTGTATGAGCCATTGAAACGATTCTAAGTGTTTATTTCAAACTATAATTATTTTTGTAATCGTAATTCAGATTATTGCAATATGAGTTCTTGAAAGCCATGACAAGAATTTAAATAAAGTTTGCAATATCGATATTGATAAAATATTACGTATGGTTTGAATAAATTCTCGAATATATCGTAACCATACTTGAATTTGCAACATTACCAGTTCAAAGCATTGACCATCGTATTTTATAAAAAGGTACACTGCTATCTATATCGATATAATAAAAAAGTAATATAATGATGAACGAACGGGGATGACAGGTAACACACAAATTTCTCAATTGAATCCAACATAAATAATTTAATTCGTGATTGATCGCAGGCGAGAGGGATTCATTTTGGATTGGGCACTGTCTTTGCTGTAAACACTATCAAGAAAATTCAAAACAAACCTATTTCTTGAAAATCAACAGAAGCAACTGTCTTTAATGCTCTAAAAAAAGTTATTGTTGGGCAATTTTATTGTATAAACTACTCTCTTCTAATTCCTAAGCTTGACCCTAACCCTGACATAAACACGCTTTAAAGAATTTTTAAAACTCATTGCTATAAAGACTAATATTCGTATTTAAATTAGAATTTTCAAGATGGTGAATCATTTGGAAAAAATTTTGACAATATAAACATGACGAAACGAACGTTTTCTTTGAATCTTTCTGCTCATAAAAATTTATTTATCCTTCGGGGATCTGTATCACCATACATTACATGCCCAACAGTGAACAATCTATGTATTTATTTATAAATCAAACACATCATCTACCTCTTTTACGCAATATACATACAATACTCCAAAATGCGCATTTGCTAAAATTTAAACTTTAACCTTGCTATTATATAGTCATACAACGTTCCTGGTTTTAGCGCGACTACGTTGCGCAGCTAGACTAGTTTTTTTTTTATCATTTTAGTAATCTTTAATTAAATATTTTCTTATTTGGAGTAGATCTACACAATGCAAAAATGGATTATAGCCTTCATTAAGAACAAAAATGTTCAAGCTACTGATAGTATTGTCTTATTTGTATATATATAAGAAATTATATGAACAAAAATAATTTACAGTTGCATATTATACATATATGTTTGAATTTGATTTATATGCTGATGATCAGTTTAGTTTTTCAATATAAATAGAAGATACAAAATTATATACAAATTAAAATACTAGAATCTGGTTAGTGAATTTATTAATTTAAAAATATTTTACACAAAGTTTATAAGATTAGATTCAGAATTGATTAAAATTTAAATACTACTGTAAAAAAATATATAAATAGATCTTTATTTAATTTTACAACTATTAATTTTCTTTTTCTATTTAAATATTATTAGTAAAAATTAAAACTATAATAATCTGAATTTTAAAATCTTATTAGATTTCAAAAATACTTTCTTTTCTAAATCATTAATATATATATATATGTTTTAATAGTTTAGTAAATATAATAAAATAAAAAGTACAACCTAATAAAGTAACTTAAAAAGTTGTATTATAAAAATATATTATATATAATATTTTTAAAACTATATAGAAAAGAAAATATTTACAAAAGAAAGTATTCTCTCTTTCGTAGATCTCTTGACCAAAATTATCAAGAAGCAAAACATTAAAAAACTCAAAAATTATATTAGAAAACAAGACTTTGACCTCTAATAAAAAAAAGAGAACAACAAAAGTTAGACTTAATTAAAAAACAAAAACACAAAAGAAAATATATAAAAATAGCAAAGAACAAAGAAAAAAGTACTTTTGATGAAAAATAAGAAATTTTACAAAAAATTAAGAAAATTTTTATAACCCTGTCTTGTAGATCTTCTGAGTTACACAAAATTATAATAGGATAAGTAAAGTAAACAAACAAATATATACATCAAACTAGTCTAATTCAGATAGAACATGTGATTTTTAGAAATATATAAAAAGCAACTATATAACATGAATAGAAGTTTGCCAAAAGAATGTAGAGAAAGTTTTAATACAATTTTTATAAAAAGAGTATATTGGGCAATGAACAATGTGTATAATAAAATATTTTTTAATGAAACAAGCAAAACATATGCAACATCCAATAAAGAGAATAATATTATTGTACTATTTATAAAATAAGATCCAAATAAAGTAACTCTTCTGCAAATAACAAGAGAAATAATAGAAAAAATAAAAAGAAAACAATCAAAAAAAAGCTTGATTTGATAAAACAAACTTAGAACAAAATAAAAATAAAAAAAAGAGAAACAATAGCAAATAATTAAAAAAAAAAAAAAAGCCTAATAAAAAGACATAAAAAAAAATAAAAGATAAAAAAACTCAGCAAAGGTTACAAGTAAGTATTAAAACTACAAAAAAAAAAAGTAAGTATAAAGGTAAGACAAACATATAATAGTCAATTAAAAATAGAATCACTATTTAAGAGAAAAAAGAAAAAAAACAAACAAAAAAACAAGAACATAAAAATATAAAAATAAATGAGAAAAAATTAATATAAAGATTAATAACAAAAGAAACAAAAAGAAAAAAGAAAAGAAAATAAGAGATAAAAAGAGAAATTAATATATTAAAAATATTTCTTAAAGAAAGTATATAGGTATCTAGTAAAAGAAGTTGTAATCAAAACAATAATTGCTTGTAATATATTAGCACAAAATGTATCTAAGAAGACCAAAAAAGAACATACAAACCTTATTAAATAGTTATTAAAAAATAATGAATATGTTAAAGATATCAAAAAAATCTTTAAAAGAGGAAATCTATAAATAGAGATAGAATTTAACTGTGAATATGATAAAAGTAAGACAATACAAATAATCAGTAAAAAAGAGTGTGATTAGTATAAAATTATTTTTTAAAAAAAGAAAATAGACAAGAAAGAGAAACAAAAAAAAATATATATAATAAAGAATACAAAAAAAAACAAAATACCAAAAACCAAGAAAAAGGTATATAAGTGAGAAAAAAATTTAAAAGAACCAAATAAAGATCAAATAGATATTGATAAAGAGGAAATACAAAACTTAAAGTATATAACAATCTGGAACTTAACAGCAAATATAAACAGAAAAGAGTTTGAATATATTTGTAAAAAATTTAAAAAAGCATATATAATATGAATTAAAAAATCAAATACAAATCTCTTACAGTTGTTCAGATAGAAGAATCAAGAGAAGAAGTTATTTTATAATCTATACCAGTTAATAGTAACAAACTAATAAAAGTAACAGAAACTAAAAAAAAACTATGAAGTAAGACAAAAGCAAAGCCAGTATATAGCAAAACTAACAAAGTGGCTAAGCAATACTTTAGAAATTTTACTATTATACTGTCTAAGAAACAAAGGTGCAAAATCAGTTTAGATTCTACTAAACAAAAACAAAAATCAAAGAAATATAGCAATAATTATATTTGCTACAGAAAAAGAAATAAAGCCAACCCAATTAAGATCAATTAGATATAATAACTTTAAGTATAATAGTTTTTTTTTTTTTGCTTTTGCTAAGGCTATTAGTTATAGCAGCTACTGCCTTTATTGTGAATTCAATTATGATTACATAACTTGTACAAGGTTACCCCTATACTACACTAACAGATAGCAATACAAACTTCCATACACCTAATTAGATACCGTCTAACCTAACCGTAACCTCTCTGTCACTACATCTATTAGGCCATTACACATTTCAGAGTATATCACCTGACTATAGGGCTTCAAAGGGCCCTCCTGCTAACTAACTACCTACATTTAATTTTTGCTAACAGGGCTTACTCTTGTAAAGTTCACCAACCTCTAGTACTGACTTCACAGCATATCTCTAATACTTATAGTATACCTTGCTTCCGAAATCAGACTTCTAATCCAGATAGACTAGTAGGACTGTAATCTGTCTCTAGTATCACAGGGTCTCCCTCCTAAGGTCCTTTTCCTCTGGTTTAAGACTTCTGGTAGCCTGGTTAGTAATACCCCTCATCTGAGGTTCTTGCCTGTCTGATTTCTTCTATATTGGTATCTGTTTTCTAGGTTTAGCCTTTATAGTAGTACTGTTAAAGATCTGTGTTACCTCTCTACTCAGGTCTTCCTAAGTGGGCTCTGGTTATTCCAGTTCACAGATTTACATGGCTACAGATGCCCTATAACCTTTCAGTTATTTGTTGTAACTGTGTTACAGGTACTGATTCCAACTGATTGATAGATAGCTATTGCCATTGTTAATATTAAGAGTTTTACACATTTTTGATCATAACTTTTGATGTACCAAACCA